GACATGAAAATGTTTTAATATACTGCCCAAATTTCTAAAAGGGAAGTAAGTGATAGTTTTACAATTTTTTTTTATTTTTAGATTAAGCCATGTTTGACACGAGAGAAATAAATATTATCATTACGTACTAAATTATTCCTGTCTAGAAAGAAAGAAAGAAAGAAAGAAAGAAAGAAAGAAAGAAAGAAAGAAAGCAAAATGACGGGTACCGATGAAAGACAATGAATATTAAATGGAATAACAAAGGAAAGAAAAAAAAAAAGAAAGACGGTCACTGAGATATGGAGACAGAAGGAACATTAAAAAAAAAGAAAGAAAGAAAGAAAAGAAAAAAGAAACAAAAAAAAAAGAAAGAAAAAAGAAAGAAAGAAAGAAAGAAAAAAAGAAAAAAAAAAAAAATGACAGGAACCGATGAAAGACAATGTATATTGAATGGAATAAGAAAGGAAAAAGAAAAAGAAAGACGGTCACTGAAATATGGAGACAGAAGGAACATTAAAAATTCAGAAAAAGAAAAAAGAAAGAAAAAAAAAGAAAGAAACTGGAAAGAAAAAAAAAACTAAACAAACAAACAAACAAACAAAAAGAAGAAAGAAAGAAAAAAGAAAGAAAGAAAGAAAGAAAGAAAGCAAAATGACGGGTACCGATGAAAGACAATGAATATTAAATGGAATAACAAAGGGAAAGAAAGAAAAAGAAAGACGAACACTGAGATATGGAGACAGAAGGAACATTAAAAAGAAAGAAAGAAAGAAAGAAAGAAAGAAAGAAAGAAAGAAATTGAAAGAAAGAAAGAAAGAAAGAAAGAAAGAAAGAAAGAAAGAAAGAATGGACATGAATACTGAAAGAAAAAGACATGCAGATAAATACAGATGTCAAGAAAATTAAACAATAAATAAAAACAGAAATAAAACAAATAAAAAAGAACGAAAGAAAGAAAGGAAAGGGGGTAAAAGTGAATATTAACGAAAAGAGAGAGACTTAGCATTGAAAGGAATGATAAAAAAAGAAGGAAAGAAGGTAGAAAGGTGGCAATGAACGAAGGAATATAGACAGATAATAAAGAAAATGGAACCGTGGAGAGACATGATCGTCAATGCTCGGAAATTATAAGATAGATTTGAATTGAAAAAAAAACATAAAAGTCAACGAGAAACCCCCCCGCTCGCTTTTTTCTCCCCAAAATGTCAAAGCAGTTCAAAGATAATAAAAAAGGAAGCAATGGAGAGACTGTAATACACCTAAGAAGGGGCGACGTACTCGCAACTGGAAGTGCCTCACACGGTGTATTCTCTCGGCCAACACCGTAACGCTAGTGGCCATTTCCACTGTCAAAAGATCACACCCAATCCTACCCACGTCCTTGACTTCTACTGAACTCGTCTATTATAGATCGCAAAGCACACTGGACGCACGTGATCTGTAAGCCTTAATTGACCGACTTCCAGCGTGTACTCTCTTTCTCTCAAATTGAAGTCCTGCATTGCCAAAGACGAACTCTCTTTCGTCGAGAATAAGGTAAATTCTGTTCACTATTTCCGCCATTCGACTCCGGTTCTGGTTCACTGGTCTACCACACCATCTCTTCTGCCCCCCCAGCTATGGGTTAATTAGTAAGACGTATCACTATAACTCATTATTATCTCCAAAAATTATCTAAACTCTTATTAAATCCTTACTATCTTTTATCAAGAACATCTTTACTTCAGAAATAACGCCGGGCCATGCTGCTAGTATTGAGATAAAGAAAGAAAGAAGGAAAAGAAATAAAAGCAAACTTTTAATAAGGTAAAGAAGAGGTAAAAACCGAATATTAAGTCGACGAGATAGAAGAATAATTAAAAGAAATGATGAAAAGGAAGGAAGGAAGGAAGGAAGGAAGGAAAAGAAAGAAGGCAGGAAGGAAGGAAAAGAAGGAAGGAAGGAAGGAAGGAAGGAAGGAAGGAAGGAAGGAAGGAAGGAAGGAAAATACTGGGAGGTAAGAAAATAGAGGTTCACTATGTCTACCACACCACCTCCTCTGCCCCCCCAGCTATGGGTTAACTAGTAAGACTTGTATTACTAACTCATTATTATCTCCGAAAATTATTTAAACTCATATTAAATCCTCACTATCTTTTATCAAGAACATCTTTATTTCAGAAATATACCGGAACTCAGTGTATTTGTTTTCTGCGTTACTTGAGTAATCAATTTTAATTCCTTGTTCGAAATACCTAACTTTCCTTGACTATTTTATATTATTTCTTTTCTGAAAGTACTTTTCTTTTTCCTGCTCGAAGACTCGGAATAATTTGAATATTAATTACATCGATACAGACGTTTGTTTTTGCACCAAGTACTTTTCCAGGATTTTTCATCAAACAAACACCTGCTTACCATCACCAAAGTTAAGCAACATCGAGCTTGGATGTCCAGGTGATGTAATGGATAATGGCTCGGAATTCTTAATCAGAGAGGCGAGTTCCAATTCCATTTGGGTTCGTGATATTCACTTACGCGCAAATACTCTTGGGATAGGTATGAATCCACCTGTGATACTACAAAGAAGAAATGTCTCTTTTGACGGTGCATCGTACTCGCTACTGGAACTATCTCACACGGTGTATTCTTTCGGTCGACACCGTAACGCTAGTGGCAGTTCAATTGTCAAACGATCACCCTCTAACTTCTGTTGAACTCGTCTTTTATAGATCACAAAGCACACTGAACGCACATGATATATATGCCTAGATACCGTAGTTCCAGCGTATTCTTGCTTTCTCTCAAATCGAAGTCCCGTATGCCAGACAATTTATGACCATTTTCGTCGAGAATAAGGAAAGTCCTTTTTCACCATTTCTGCCATTCGACGTCGGTTCTGCCACAGAGTCATAACTACCACTATTCTGAAAGTATAAAGAATATTCTAAATTCAAAACTGTGGCGAAACGATTCCATTAAAGAATGCATGTTTACACAGAGATACTTAAAAGGAAATTGTGGTGAGCCATGAACACATTACGTTCAGAAAGGATAATTAATTTTCTGAATTCAAATCATAGAGAAGGTGACGGAAAACCACTCCACTTCCTTTTCTCTAAATGTCATAACAATTCACGGATACTAAAGAAAAGGAAATTGTGGAGAGCCATGACCGCCTATATTCTGAAAGGATAGTTACATTTCTGAATTCCAAAACGTAGAGAATTCAACGGGGAAATACTCCACTCTCTTTTCTCAAAAAGTCTTAACAATTCACATATATTAAAAAGAAAAGGAAATTGTGGAGAGCCATGACCGCCTATATATTCTGAAAGGATAGTTACATTTCTGAATTCCAAAACGTAGAGAATTCAACGGGGAAATACTCCACTCTCTTTTCTCAAAAAGTCTTAACAATTCACATATATTAAAGAAAAGGAACTTGTGGAGAGCCATGACCGCCTATATTCTGAAAGGATAGTTACATTTCTGAATTCCAAAACGTAGAGAATTCAACGGGGAACTACTCCGCTCTCCTCTCTCAAGATGTCAAAACAATTCAAGATACTAAGGAAAAGGAAATTATGGAGAGCTATGACCGCCTACGTTCTGAAAAGATAAAGACTGTTCTGATTTCGAAACAGTAACGGAAGTAAAAGAAAAGGAAGCCTGATCACCTAGGAGAAGGAAAACAGTCCGCTATCTTTCCCAAAAAGTCATAGTAAATCACAGATAAAGAAAAGGAAGATATGGAGAGACATGAACGAATAGGTTCTGAACTGTGAAAGGAGGCTCTGAATTGGAAACCCTAGAGAAAATAATGGGAAGCCACGCGACAGTCTTTTCCAAAATGTCATAGAAATTCACGAATTATAAAGCAAAAGGAATGTGTGGAGAGCCATGATTCTATACGTTCTGAATAAAATATAAACAGAATATAGATCTCTCTTGGAGTAGATTTTTGTTTTGTTTACTCTTAGAATAAGATAGATACGAACATGCGAAAAGGCAGAGAGAAATTTTTATTTATATATTAGGCGATCGGTAATTTAAGGATGCCTTTAACAGTCATAAAAATCCTGAAGAGCAACAAAGTAGAAAAATGATATTTTCGGAGATTATGATTGAAATCCATGATAAAATGAAATGTAAATATTCTTGCTAATTTGTCAAAATAAAAAATAAAAAAAAAAGGTTTGAAAATAAATTGTATTTTGTTTTTTAAATTCCAAACATTCTGCAAAATTTGTTTCTTGATTTATTTTCGTATTTTTAAAAAAAAAATTTATCGACGTCCAAAGAAAAATAAGAAAGATTAAAAAAAAAATGGGGGGGGATAAATTACATAAAAGTGAAAGCAAGAAGGAGGTTAAGAAAAAAGTTTAATGAAATGGAAAATAAAAATGCGAATAATTAAAAAAAAAGGGAGGAAAAAAGTAAAGAAACAAGGATACACTTAGAAAGAAAGAAAGAAAGAAAGAAAGAAAGAAATGAGAGGAAGAAAGAAATGAGAGGAAGAAAGTAAGAAAGAAAGGGAAAAGAAAGATAGGAAAAAGAAAGAAAAGAAGTAATAAAGAAAGAAAGAAAGAAAGAAAGAAAGATAGAAGGGAAGAAATGAAGCATGAAAAGAAGAAAGAAAGTAATAAATGATGGAAGAAAGAAAGAAGGAATGGAAGAAAATAAGAAAAGAAAGAAGAAAGAAAGAAATGAAGAAAAGAAGGATAAGAGAAAAAAAAGGAAGTAAAAAAGAAATGAAAAAATGAAAAAGAAAAGAAATAATAAAGGAAACAAGTAAGGAAAGAAAGAAAGAAAGAAAGATATGAAGAAAAGAAGGAAGATAGAAACGAAAAATGAAGCATGAAAGGAAGAAAAAACTAATAAATGAAAAGAAAGGAAAGAAAGAAAAAGAAAGAAAGAAAGAAAGAAACTTTTTTTGGTCGAAATGGCAAGAATTAAAGTCTATTTCGATTATAGGATATTTTTTCTTTTTTACACTTTTTAAGCCAACCGATATTATTTGACCGAGTAGAAGTGTGTCAAATATATTTAGTAAGGAAAGAAGAAAGAAAGAAAGATATGAAGAAAAGAAGGAAGATAGAAACGAAAAATGAAGCATGAAAGGAAGAAAAAACTAATAAATGAAAAAAGAAAGAAAGAAAGAAAGAAAGAAAAAGAAAGACGAATACTGAGAAGAAATGAGAGAAACAGCGTTGAAAGGAAGAAATATTGAATGGGAGAAAGAAAGAGAAATACTGGGAAAAAGATGAAAAAGAATATTGAAAAAAGAAATAAACGAATTTTGATAAGGAAGAATAATTAAAAAGTAAGAAAAACAGATAAACAAAGAAAGAAAGACGGACACTGAGATAAGAGACAGAAGGAACATTAAAAAGAAAGAAAGAAAGAAAGAAAGGAAGGACTGGTACAGATGAAAGACAATGAATATTGAATCGAATAACAAAGGGAAAGAAAGAAAAAGAAAGACGGACACTGAGATATGGTGACAGAAGGAACATTAAAAAGAAAGAAAGAAAGAAAGAAAGAAGGAAAGAAAGAAAGAAAGAAAGAAGGAAAGAAAGAAAGACAAAATGGAAATGAATACTGAAAGAAAAAAGACATTCAGATGAATTCAGAAGGTGAGAAATAAATAAGTAAAGAAATAAAGAAAGAAAAGGAAGATGGTAAAAACGAATATTAACGAAAAAGAGAGAGAAGTGGCATTGAAAGGAATGATGAAAATGAAGGAATGAAGGAAGGAAGGAAGGAAGGAGGGATGAAAAGGATGGAAGGAAGGAAGTAAAATATTGGATGGTAAGGAAAAAGAGACATTAAGGGCGACGAATATCGAGACAAATGTTAGAAAAATCATTGAAGAAAGACAGAAAGAAGCACACACAGATACAATATAGAAAGAACCTTGAAAGAAAGAAAGAAAGAAAGAAGGAAAGAAAGAAAGAAAGAAAGAAAGAAAGAAAGAAGCTCTTGATAAGGAAGTGTTAAAAAACAGTATATTAAGGAGTCGAGATAGAAGAATCATTGAAAGGAATGACCAAAATGAATGACGAAAAAGAAGGAAGAAAGGAAGGAAGGAAAGAAAAGGAAAATACTGGGAGGTAAGGAAATAGAAAAACAAAGAGAGGCGAATCTCTGTCTATAAAAGGCAGGATGTGTGTGTGTGTGTGTGTGTGTAACGACTGCACGGCCGCAATTTTCGACGGATTTGCACCAAAATTTACATGCACATGCTCCAAGTTAGCGGGAAGGACAAGACCGACTTTGCATTTCCCAACTCCCATCGATAGTGGAAATAATCGATTTTTTCATGCTTCTAAGGCATTCGTGTAGTTTGCGGCCATTTTCTATTGGTCAGAGTGAGAGCCTACAGCTAGCTGCCACGAATAGGCCGGAAGATTCTATTCGCCAGCGTGAGAGCCAACAACTGACCGACACGAATGTTAACTAGCATGCTAGCATGCAAAAAAAAAAAAATCGATAGCTGCATTCGTCACAAGTGGGAAGAATTTAAATCTGCATGGCACTTTACTCCAATTGTCTCATTCGCTTGCTTAAACTCAACGTTGATTCTAATTCCGCAGAACTGAGTTGGGTGAGAAAAAGTATTTGTTGTTAACATTCTTTTTTCATTCGATTTTTTCCAGTTACGAGTCCTTTTTTTAAAGCTGATCGTTTTGTGTTCATTTTGTTTAGTTCTTTTTTCGTAACAGATTTAATATTTAGTATAGAGCTTAAAAAAAATCGAAAGTGAGATAGGCAAATGTAAGAATGTAGCAAAAACGGCAAAAGCACTCCTTAAAAAGGCAAAAGAAGGGCAAAAATATTTTAAGTCTAGTGATAGCGATTGAAAAAAAAGAACGATTTTTGAATCAAACGGGCAACGCCGGGCCATGCTGCTAGTGTTAAGATAAAGAAAGAAAAAGAAAAAAAGAAAAACAAACTTTTAAATAAATAAGGAAAAAAAAAAAACCGAATATTAAGAAGACGAGATAGAAGAATAATTAAAAGAAAATGAAACGGAAGGAAGGAAGGAAGGAAGGAAGGAAGGAAGGAAGGAAGGAAGGAAGGAAGGAAGGAAAATACTGGGAGGTAAGAAAATAGAGAAACAAAGAAAATCAATAACTGAGACGAAGAAAGAAGAAAAAAACTGGTTGGCAAAGAAAGAAAGAAAGAAATAAAGAAAAATAAAGAAAAGAAAGAAAGAAAGAAAGAAAGAAAGAAAGAATGAAAAAAAAAAAAATGCAAAAAAAAAAAAAAAGGTTCAGGAAAAAAAAAAAAAGGAATGAAGAAAAATAGAATGAAAGACAAAAGAAAGAAAAACTTTTGAAGGAAAGAAAAAAAAAAAAACAAAGAAAAAGGAATATTAAGACGAAGAAAAAAAAAGAACAAGAAAAAATAAAGAAAAAATACTCACAGACAAAGAAAGAAAGAATGATAAAAAACTGGTTGTCAAATAAATAAATAAATAGAAACAAAAAAAAACAATCTAGAATACACTCAGATTAAAGAAAGAAAGAATGGGATAAAGAAAGAAAGGAAGAAAGAAAGAAAGAAAGAAAGGAAGCAAAGACGTTATGAATATTGCGTTAAAAAGATCGAAAGTACTTTTGAAGGAACGGCAACAAGAAAGTGAGAAATAAAGACATATGAATATTTGGACAATGAAAGAAAGGAATGAAAAATAAAAGAAATAAAGAAAGATAGTGACAGACAAAAAAGAAAAAAAAGAAAGAAAGAAGAAACAAAATCAAACAAACAAGAATACGCTCAGTTAAAGAAAGAAAGAAAGAAAGAAAGAAAATATGCATATTGCGTTAAAATGATCGAAAGTACTTTTGAAGGAATGACAAAAAGAAAGAGGGAAACAAAGAAAAACGAATATTGAGACGAAGAAAGAAAGAAAGAAAGAAAGTAAGAAAGAAAGAAAGAAAGAAAGAAAGGAAGTAAGAAAGAAAGGAAAAATAAAAGAAATGAAGAAAAATACTGATAGACAAAGCAAGCAAGCAAGAAAGAAAGAAAGAAAGAAAGAAAGAAAGAAAGAAAGAAAGAAAGAAAAAAAGAAATTATGCATATCGCGTTAAAAAGATCGAAAGTACTTTTGAAGGAACGACAAAAAGAAAGGGAGAAACAAAGAAAAACGAATATTGAAACGAAGAAAGAAAGAAAGAAAGAAAGAAAGAAAATAAGAAAGAAAGTAAGAAAGAAAGGAAAAATAAAAGAAATGAAGAAAAATATTGATAGACAAAGAAAGAAAGAAAGAAAGAAAGAAAGAAACAAAGAAAGAAAGAAATTATGCATATTGCGTTAAAAAAAATCGAAAGTTCTTTTGAAGGAACGACAAAAAGAAAGGGAGAAACAAAGAAAAACAAATATTGAAACGAAGAAAGAAAGAAAGAAAAATAGGAAAAATAAAAGAAATGAAGAAAAATACTGATAAAGAAAGAAAGAAAGAAATAAAGAAAGAAAGATAGAAAGAAATTATGCATATTGCGTTAAAAAGATCGAAAGTTCTTTTGAAGGAACGACAAAAAGAAAGGGAGAAAGAAAGAAAGAATTAACAGAAAGAGCGACATAAAGAAAGGCACATTTTAAAAGAAAGAATTTAGAAACAAAAAATATAAAACAGTCAAAATGAATGAAATATGAACGTAACAATAATGAGACAATTAATTAAAAAGAAAGTATAAGAAATTCAAAAATAAAGGCTAAAAAACACATATATTCCTACCATCCGATAAGATAATAACGTTATTGTTTTCTGCGATTATTATTTTTGAAATAAATATTCTGAAGAAATTAACGTTCATATCTTTTTGCACTGAAATCGCAGGTCACTATTGTTTACAAATATACAAGCGATTAGATGTCATTTCGCTGCCGGTAACGATAAACTACGGATGCACATAATGATAAAAATCATTTTAGCAACTCGCGCATTAGTACGAGGCCACCTCGAAAAGTTTGGTACAGTACCGTAGCGTAGTGGTTACAAGCTCGTGCTGTAGACACAGGAACATTTTCAGCTATTTAGAAAACATACATCCTTATGGTACCACGGTTTATGAAAGTACCTCTAAAATCAAGGAGTTGAGGGCATAGTAGTTGAGCTCTCCACTAACCTTGGTCAATTAGACCAATGGGGATAAAAGTTGACTTGTGGCTTTTCATACCTCTAACACCAAGATAGTAACATTTCCTCATCACAGATCGGAATCCAATGGTTCTCTCGTCAAAATCAACGATTAATCTTTCAATGTGGCTTGTTGCTTTGAACGTCTGTTGGCACTAATAGCCACTCCAGACCCCACATGAAAGCTTATATTGACTCCATTGATATGTCTGCTCTAAAGAAAGTTAGTTCACTGAGTCGTGCTAAACAATTTTTCTTGTCAAGAATGTATCTTTGATATATATATATAGATCTACCATTCGCCCTTGCCTTTCTTGCAATATTCCATAGAATAAACTACAGAACTCAAAACGTTCTGTGCTGATATAAAGTGGAAAGACTATATTAAATCCATTGGAAAAAATACTTTATGGGCACTATTTGCAATATTCGGACTATTGTCCTCATCTTTGCCGCCATATTTATTACAACGTTTCGGCCGTTGTACGTTCAGGTGGTTGGAATGCCGAACTGAACCCTTTATTTCGCCCACTGAGGTAGACTGTTCTAGTTCCACGTGCCATCTTTAATGGATGTCAGTTATCGGTTATCTCCTGTTAATTCCCCTCTCCAAATTCTCCACTGCCTTAAACATGTATTGAACTCACACTCCTTGGCTCCTGTCACTGGATCTAACAACTTAACGCCTTTATCCATTGTGCCATGTGTCCTTGAGGACATATGTGGATGAATTTTTGGGTATTATAAACCTCATATCTTCAGCTACCATTTTTTACCAGTGCTCATATTGCAATTTTTGTTGTTATTATTATACCTGAAGAAGGCCGGAGCTTACAACGGCCGAAACGTTGTAATAAATATGGCGATGAAGATGAGGAAAATAGTCCGAATAATGTAACTAGTGTATATAATACCTCATCTCAGAAATATAGACAGATACTGAAAGGCCGAAACGTAATAAATATGTCGACAAGTATGAGGACAATAGTCCGAATAATGTAAATAGTGTACATAATACCTCATCTCAGACATATAGACAGATACTTTATGGGCTTGAGTAAATGGATAGCAGAACAGCGAGAAATATCAAAAAGAAATTAATGAAATTACTCCTTGTCAGAAGTCGAAAAATCAAAACTCACCAGGGTCGGGGTAGGTGGGAGTACTCTCAAACAACAACGTGGGGGCCCCATTGCACAGAGGGTCGTATACAACATAGCTGTGTCCTGTAATCCAACCAACATCAGCGACGCAGCCAAAGATTTCCCCTTCACGGTAATCGAAAACATGCTAAAGAAAAATCAAAAAATAAATAAAAATAATCAGCCAATAAAAATCTTTAAAGAAAAGAAAAAAAGAAATTTAAAAATTAAAAAATTTACACTATTTATATTCGGACTTTATTGTTGTTATCACGACGTTTCAGTCATTGTACCCTCCGACCTTCATCAGGTGTTTATCAGTCTGGGTAACCTACAGAGAATTCTGAACTGAATCCTTTATTTAATCTATGGGGTAGACTGTTCCCATTCCACTGTCTATGTCGAGGGATATCTCGTTTAGTTCTTATTATTTAGTACTGCTCAGTTACTGTTCGCCCGTTTCCACTGACTGCAAGTACACACCGCCCGATCCAGGGATTGAACTCACAATTACTATCTCACCAAATTCAGGAACCAATACTTTAACTCCCTATTAGACTATAACCTAGTGGGTTAAAGTGTAGCACACACATCCATTGCTTGGTCAGCTGCTAAGAAAGTTGGTTCACTGGGTCATGCTAGACAATTTTTCTCTGAAGAATCTTTCTTATATATCTATAGGTCTACCATTCGTCCATGCTTTTGTCGCAATATTCTGAGCATGGACGAATGTACTAGCTTAAAAGCCGCCCTATTGGGCAGCATTTAAGGTAGCTACTGTCAAGGGCTCTTGATTGAGCTTTCCTCACAAGAGGTAGGGAGGAGGAGGTGCGATATGCAACAATAAACTATAGAAGCACTCAAAACTGATCGCTGTATTTAAGTATTGCATTAATATTTAATCTTACCTTTTAAAACTTCAACGATAGTTCTTCAGCCGCCACTTAATTTAAAGACGGATTTGAGGTACGCAGGTCCTTACTTTCCGTACAACCAATTATTTTTATATCATCGGTGATTTTCGCTGGATTTCGCAGTTAGTTTCGATTATTCCCAAATTTATTTCCAAGTTATAAAAATTGTTATCATACAAAAACATTCATCGCCAAAAAATCACGTAAAAAAATCGCCGAAAACACTCGAATTAAGGAAAACTTGGGAATCTAAAATTTCAGGACTGCGGATGGGGATCCGGCCCGGGATGTTATTAATTTGCTCACGGGGTCGGCCTGATTTCAAAATGGTATATGTTTGGTCGTGGCCTCTGAAAACACGAACAATTTCATTTTGAAGCTCTGTAATTTGAGAACAGTATTTTTTTTTTCATTTGAAATGAGCTATTGAAATTTAGAGAGTTGTGTCCCTTTAAATTGAAAAAGTGTAGCACAGTGACATACTAACATTCGCATTTATTATATAGAAGATAGACTCTAGGGAGAAAAATTGTCGAGCACGACACGGTGAACCAACTTTCATAGGAGTAGCTGTTGTTTTTCTCTGTCCCTCTTGCATTCAATCTGTTCTGTGAGTATCTGATTTTCCAAGTCCTCTTTCCTTATTATTTTCCCTACAAATTTCAAATTCATCTTTCTGGATTTAAATATGAGCTTTCTTTTTGTTTCCTTTTCTCTAAAACTTCGCCGTTGTTCACATATTCGGTCCATGGTATCCTCAGCATCCTTCTGTTGAACCACAAGTCTATTCTTCATCTGTGAAGAAATTATTCAACATCCTCAGCCATATAGGAGTACTGATATTATCTAACAGTTCAGTACACTTTTTTTTTTTTTCTAAAGAAATTTCAGTTTCTTAATACCCTTCTTAGCTTTTGGAAGGCATCTTTGGCTATCCTAATGCGCTTTCGTATTTCCGTCCTAATCCAGGTAATTGTCTTTTGAAGCATGAAATTGGTTGTGTGTGCAGGAGCTCCACGTTGAGTGAAGACATAGCGACTGCCAAATGGGTAACACGTCTCTCTCGTATATTTGCTGGTAAACTGTACTATTCACTTTCAGTCCTTCTTCAATGAACACCAACAACGATGTCCAACCATCCGAAGCAACAGTAGCCGAAACCAGGGCTCCAGTTGATTTCTGTCGCTTGAAATGCGTTCTGAGACCTTCGGGAGAATTTCCTGGTGAAAGGTCGTAGACGCTATTGTTTTGGAAGCTGACCGCAGCCTCCACAGGGGAAAAAATAACTTTCGTCCCACAAAATGAAACTTGAGTATGAGATACGTGAAACATGAGATAAGTGAAAAAAGTGAAACAGTCTTTAATATGGACCGTATTGCAAAAACCGTAGGATTAATGTCAGGGCATGATGGAGGCCAAATTGGCTTGTCATAAAAATACGCAGAAATGTTTCTTGCGCTAGATTTGCGTCAAAATGGCAGTGCGTACGGAACCTCCATCTTAAGTGAAGACATATCGACTGCCAATTATGTCTGACAACCAGGAGAATACGTCTCTCTCCAATATTTACTGGTAAACTCTATTATTCATTTTCAATCTTTCTTCAAGGAAACCAAGAGTATTTGCAACGTCAGGATACTAATTACGTCCGTTGTTTTGAAATTTCTCCTGGAAAACTAGCGCAAATATTTATTTTTAATGGATTTCTTCAATGACCACCAAGAGCCATTTGAACTCACACTCCTTGGCTCCCACTGGATTAACTAAGCCTTTTATCCACAACAGATGAATTTCAAAACCAGGATTTTTACTAATTATTTGGTTTGTTCTGCTTTGCCGAAACGTTGAAATAGATTTGGCGATAAAGATGAGAGAAAAATAGTCCGAATAATGAAAATGTGTCACTGAATCTCATCTGACAAATGTTTCTTCGACAAGTATCGAAGTAATAGTCAAAATAATGTAAATATAGTGTATATAATACCTCATCTCAGACATATTGGAACAGGGTTTGCGAGAAATATCTTAAATTAATGCCTCAGAGTCAAAATCTTCTTATGATAATCATCAAACAACAACGTGGTCCAACATTTTCGTTTTGGTATTTGGGATTTCCTGGATGTCATGCCGTCATTTTTTGTTTGGAGGCAGCTGTCGTCGTTGAATCTCTATCTATAAAAGGCAAGATGTGTGTTTGTGTGTGTGTAACAAATGCACGGCCGCAATTTTCGACGGATTTGCACCAAAATTTACATGCACATGCTCCAAGTTAGCGGGAAGGCCAAGACCGACTTTTCATA